GACAACCCCGTAACAATATGCGTTTTGTACTGCTGTTACACAGCACAAAACGCATAAAAAAGTGCATTCTTACCTCGCCATATTTACACTGGATGCGTCGTAGATGCTGCAATTCCAGGTGTGATCCTGGCTTAATCGTCCTTTGAATGCAGCCCATAGATAAGGAAATATCCAGCTGTATGTTATGAACGAGAACAGACCCGATTCATCAATTTTGCTTGTGTGCGATCGATCGCGTCTTCAAAATTATGCAAATTAATTTATGCAAAATTTTCTGAAATTTATGCATGTTTTTCTGAAATTTATGCAAATGGATTTATGTAAATTCTTTGCCAAAAATTTATGTAAGTTAAATTTATGTAGAATTTATGTAAGTTTTTTTGCAAAAATTTATGCAAGTTTTTGCTGTAGAAGTAATTTAGGCTCACTTATGAGAAGGCCGTAGCGGTATGACATTTTTTAAGCTGGTTCGATATCTCGCAAATGTTTTCGGTTCGCGGCGTCCTCTCAGATAACGGATTTTTGCGCTTCCCGGTGTATCTTCACCTCTGCAATACACACACACATACACACATTTTCACACGATATGCATGCGAAAGTGGCAAAAGTAATTGGCGGAACTTTGCAACATTTTCAACGATAACAACAGCAGTAAGGGTTTTTTCTTGGACGAATTCTTTATGAGGCATACTTTCCTTCGCAATTTGATGACGACGGCAAATTGCAACATTATGGCTGTTTGTTAATGCGGTAAAAACTTGTGCACTTTGCTGTATGACTGATTGCATCATATCACCACTGCACTGCGCCACACTGATAAATTTACAAGCATGGACTCGCACATCCTTCTTTTTTTGCGTAAATGCGTCACCAGAACAATTTATCATACAAAACTTCAAAGCAATCAACACCCCTGGGCCGATAACGGGACTTATCGTGAAGAAAAGAAGAGCGGAAAAAGGGGAGGAGAAAATTTTTGAGACAACGAGGGAACAGACTGTTAGTAGAAATTTGAACAAATACAGAGACGAAAATAGGAATGGAAAGTCAAGAAATCCATAATAAGTACCAAATTGCAAAAAAGCACGCATATGCAAAAAACCCCGCGAACGAAGTACTTTTTTGCAAAAGGGGCAGCGACCCAAGGGGGAATCGAACCCCCCGCCTTTCACTATGTCTACAGATGAATCATAACGTGTTATCCATTACACTATCGGCCCTTTTGTTAACGTGCTATCCATTACACTACCGTCCCTTATGTGGTGCACTGCCAGTCACATATACTGCCTAACCCTGCTATTATAATATATAGCGCACTTTTTGTCCAAATTTTTATCAATTCTTGCTGGCTTTTTGCGGGACTTCCACGAAGCTTTACAGAGATGCCGCAGACTCAAATCCACGCCAAGGACTCATCGTGGATATTTTTTTAACGGCTTATTCGCATACTGTCTCATAGATCCGACTTCTCCCCCTCCTACCTCGCCCTACTCCTTTCTCCTGCTAGGTTCACCACAAGGACTGAAACTCTTCTCCCTCCCCTGAGATTTTAAGACTCCTAGAAAACAGACAGCCCCGTTTCAAAATGTCTTTAGCTTGTTTCGATGAGGCTTTTTAGCGGCTAAGAAAATTTTAATCACTTCCTGCCCAAACCTATGATCTGGGGTACAAATTCACGCAGTAACACCAGGATCGAGCGTGGCGACAAGTTCAGCTGCACCTGTACGCTGCATTCGGTCTGTGCAGAAAATTAGCAAGAGCCGATGACCCAACAAAACACGAGTTTCTAAATAAAAAATATGAGATGAGATGAGCGGCACTAACTTGAGCACTCGTCCTGGGTACACTTCGCTATCCTGCTGTTCCTCGCCCTCACCATCCGAACCTTTCTCCAAAGCCGCATCCAAATCCATCTCGTCCTCCTTCCTACTACTCCCTGCAAAAAAACACAAGAAGCCGATAGTCGAGTTTCTTCAACATGTCAGAAACCAGCGTATTCGATTCAATTCGTTTTAAAATAACAAAAACCATAAAAAAACAAAAAAATTCATAACTTTATCGCGCAAGTAACCAAAAAAAAACAATAAATAAGTTTATTAATTTACCACGCTGTAGGGCATGATTCAGCGGCTGGTAATATTATTTTACGCTAAAAAAATCACTTAAAAATCGGCAATTCAGTCCTCCGGTGGTATAGGCCATTCCTCGCCATTTATTTCGATGGTAAATTGGTATGCCAAGGAATCAAACCCGTCATCAGCTTGCTTCTAAGCAATTTTTAAAAGATAAACTAATCTACAGTACTCCCAATGAGCCTTACTCCATTTTTCATTTCTTTTCACAGTTGAGGGGGTATATAATGAATTCATGAAAAGCAATACCGCCAAAGATGGCGCAAAATTGGGGAAATATCTATGAGTTCATGAAAAGCAATGTCACCAGGGACGGCGTTTTTTACATGTTTTTTCTAACGCATCCAGTATTCTAGCATTTTTGGAAAAAAAAATTTTATTTCGCAAAAATTTAAAATTGAAATGAATCTGTTACGAAAGCAAAACAGAAATATCGAGATATTAGTCATCAAAAATTGCAAATGGGCTGAATGCAACAGGAAAATGACTGGACATAAAGGAAAATACAAGGAATTGCATCAAATTTGAGCGAAAAAATAAGAGAAACAGTGAAATTAAGCTATTTGTCATATAATATTGGACGAAATTACGCTATAAATATCATGATTTTTTCTTTCAGATGAGCTGGCCTTGTGGCAGCAGTGAGAGACAACAGATGGGCAAAGCGGATCACTGAAAAGTCCTAAACAATGTTCCAAAAAATGCACGGGAAGGTCGTTTATTAGAGTGGAAAGACTTGTCTGAATCAAATGGAAAACAAATTGGGATGTCTGTGGTGTACCTTCTCAGATGGCGGGTCTGTTAGAAGTGGGTGGTAAGAGGGTGGTCGAGGCCTCCTTCGCCACAAAGTCTCGATCGCTCCTTGGCTGCCTCCCAACGACTGCATACTTCGGTCCGGTCACGTCCAGTCTCATTCAACGAATCAAAAATCTTCACAGGCCCGTACGTGAGAACCGTGCATACCTGGAGGCTGAGTTTGAACTCATTAAATCCTACTCGGACGAGGAACATCCACTTTAAATCACAACTTCCTAGCTTCTCCGGTTTCCGAGTTAGCAAATTACCCGCAAGAAATTTTCATATACCCAACGACCAGCAGTCGTGGTTAAACGCAAAAGTCCGTCAATTTTTATGCGTTTTTTGCAGTAATGCAATGCAAAAAACGCATATTGACGAGAGGTTGTCTGT